AGGATGTGGATGCATTGGAGAGGGTCCAGCGGAGGGCAACCAAAATGATTAGGGGGCTGGAGCATATGACCTATGAGGAGAGGCTGAGGGACTTGGGTCTGTTTAGTCTGCAGAAGCGAAGAGTGAGGGGGGATTTGATAGCAGCCTCCAACTTCCTGAAGGGAGGTTCCAAAGAGGATGGAGAGAGGCTGTTCTCAATAGTGACAGACGGCAGAACAAGGAGCAATGGTCTCAAGTTGTGGTGGGAGAGGTCCAGGTTGGATACTAGGAAAAACTATTTCACTAGGAGGGTAGTGAAGCACTGGAATGGGTAACCTAGGGAAGTAGTGGAGTCTCCATCCCTAGAGGTGTTTAAGTCTCAGCTTGACAAAGCCCTGGCTGGGATGATTTAGTTGGGATTGGTCCTGCCTAGAGCAGGGGGCTGGACTTGATGACCTTCTGAGGTCTTTTCCAGCTCTGTGGTTCTATGATTCTATGAATGAAAACAAAATCTGTGTCTGTGACTTGATGTCTTGGGGCCTAGTACAGCCCTAAAGGGTGGTTGATGGGCCACATTCAGAAGAGACTTTGGTAAGCGGCTGTAAACAGCAAAGTGGTGTAACTTGCATCAACTTGTTCCGTGGGCAAGGACAGTTAACATGAATGACATATCAAGGTAGCTAAAAGGCGCAGTAGGGACAGCAGTGAAGGTAAGAAAGTGGTCCCAAGTCTTATCTTTGCTAAACCAGTGTCACTCCAGTGATTTACGATTGATTTATACTGCCATGAGAATAGAATCTGTTTGAAACACTTCACTTACACCATAACTTGTACTACCAGGGCCGAATTCAGCCTCTGGCACAGGCAGATGCAACTTGGATTGATGTCAAGAGTTGTCTTTTGATACTGGGTTTAAATATAATCCCCACTGAATATAAAATGGGTATTGCACAGCCACCAAATTAAGACGAGTATCACTACTTTGCCATGTATACCCATTTTTAACTGATGTAAATCCAGTTTAAGTGCCATCAGTGTACATTAATGAACCTCTAGGCGACAGTGAAATGACTTACATCTGTGTAAAATAGGAGTAAGATCCAAGCCAGGCTCCCGCTGGGAAGTCTACATCCCCTGGTATATTATTTCTGCACTTGCTCTGCCATGGCCCAGATCCTGCGCTCAAACTGCCCCCTATAAATCAGAATGAGCTCACTGAGCTACTCGGATGTGAGTCATCCCAGTCACGCAGATGTAACGGAGTACAGAATCTAGCCTGGAAAGCTGGGTTAGTAACTCTCACAATTCTGCAAAAGCAACATCCACCACTGGGCCGCAGCCTCATGCACCCATCTGGTGAGGGAAACAGGGCCATGGAACAGCAAAACACTGGGGTGGAGAATAAAAATAACAACAGATCACTGCTAGAGCCTCTATACGCAGTACAACCCTCCCCCACCCCAAAACACAAGGAGGCGGTGCATACCAAGAACTGATGAATAAAAAAATCCCCTCCTGAGGCTGCAGTTCTCAGGTTACATTCCTTTGACAGCTCGCTTGGGTATGGTACCTGTGTCAGGCTTGACACAAAAGGTCCAGCTTGCAGGCACATGTGTTTGTGCTCAGTCAGTCGGGCGAGTTCAGACTCGGGAAGGCGGGCATTGGAATGAGAGTTTCTGGACAGCAGTGTAGTGAGGTAGCAGAGAGAACTCGCCCTTCACACCGGCCTGTGCCTTTGCACCCTATAGCTCCGTGTGGTGGTTGTGTTATAGCTGGAGAGACCTTGACCAAAATCGAGGCCACTCTCCAGATGCACTGAGGCCATGTCTACACTGTGGGGAGGTTTGCACCATAGCTACACGGTAGCATAGGCACAGTCTACAGCACTGGAAGGTGTTTTCCAACTGCGGTAGGAACGCCACCTCCATGAGCAATTCTTCTCTCAGTCTAGCTGCATCTACAGCAGAGTTAGGTAAACAGGGAGTGGGGAGGATGGATTGTTTTTTTCATCCTCCTGAAAGACATAACTACGTAACCTATGTTTTAAATATAGACCAGGCCTGAGCAGTCTTTACCATGTAAATTGACAAGGGAAATTAAGGGGGCGGGGAGAGGGGAAGTGGGAGGCACAGACAAGGGAAGAAACTTGCCCACGGACACACAGCAGGGCTACGTCTAGACTGGCATGATTTTCTGGAAATGCTTTTAACGGAAAAGTTTTCTGTTAAAAGCATTTTCGGAAAAGAGCGTCTAGATTGGCGCAGAGTTCACGTTATAATGATGCACTTTTGCGGAAAAGCATCCATGCCAATCTAGACACGCTTTTCCGTAAAAAAGCCCCGATCACCATTTTTGTGGAAAACAAATCTCAGCTGTCTACACTGGCCCTTTTGCGCAAAAGGGACTTTTGCCCAAACGGGAGCAGCATAGTATTTTCGCAAAAACACTGACAATCTTACATGAGATCGTCAGTGCTTTTGGGGAAATTCAAGCGGCCAGTGTAGACATCTGGCAAGTTTTTCCAGAAAAGCGGCTGATTTTCTGGAAAAGCTGGCCAGTCTAGACACAGCCCAGGTGTATGGTAGAGCTAGGAATAGAATCCATGTCTCCTGAGTCCCACTCCCAGACCATACTGCCTCTCATAACAATACTTTGTTCCGGCTTACCGCTGTTCAGCCACACCTGGAGGTAACTTACCAAGGAGGGAAGGCTCATTATCTCCAAGGTATAGATTGGGAAACTGAGGCAGGGATAAGAAAGATGACTCCCCCTCAGAGCACTTAGCAAACCGGTGGCAGAGCCAGGCATGGAACTCAGGGGACCCGACTTGTGTGATTGGGTCGGTGGGTTCTAGGCATTCAACAATGTGGCTACCAGAGGCAAGGGAGGGATAACAGCATGGTAACGTGAACTGCTGGAAGGGTCGGATGAGCCCAAATCAGATCTCCAGATCTGAACAACCCCAGACTCTGGGGACACTCCACACCCAGAAATGAACTTTCTGGTGAATGACCTCTTATGGAAATTATTATGTGTGCACAGGGCTGCTCAAAAGCAGCACCGTAGAACTCCCTGGGCTGCTATGTGGCTACCCTCACCCTTAACCTGGGGACAGCTATTCGTGCCAGAGACTCACCCAGTACTTGGCCTTGGAGCCATGTAGCCTGTGCTGGATGGGATGGCTAGCCTTTGTGGATGGCACCTTTGTGCTGCACATCCGGGGTATGTAACGCTGGGCAGAGGAAAGGGGTCTGATCGTGTGAGGCACTGAGCCATTGACTTCATTGGAATGGAGCGCGCTGAGCACCCGGTGGTTCTCCGTGTGGGCATGGGGCTCTGGGCAGGTTGTCACAGAAGAGCTCAGATGGCCAAACTTCAGTGCCCCTGAGTCGCTCTGCCCCAGAAACCGGAGATGCTATCTCCTTGAGAGTGTGTCATTGAGAGCAAATCTGACAAGGAGCCTCTGAGTGACGCCATGGGAATGACAGCCTCTGACAGGTTCCAGTGTGAGGACAAAGTCACAGGGGACAGCCTGGACTGGCAGCATCATGCACCCTCTTGTAGGCTGCCAACTGAGGATGGGAGCAGAGCTCACAGTGACATGCTGGGGCACATGCAATGCTAGGGATGCCGGGGAAAGGCACTCCCGATGACCCAGGTGTCTCTGTGTTCCTACTCACTCGCATCCTGTTAATAACATGAATAGACAGCGCTGGAGCTGCGAAGTAGACCAAACGCGTGCAGATTGTCAGAGGTGCCTTAAGCCCTGTGCACTGCGACCACTGCTAAATCAGCGACATTATATATTTTTAAAAAATTATTTAGAAATCTCATGGGTGAGTAAAAACCCGCTGACACCTGCCCTAGATTCCCTGTAACTTTCCTAGCGTCATAAATGCCTCCATCTCCTCTAGGGAGATATGACCCTAGCAAAATATAGTTTGCATTTGGAAAGGCCAGATCAGGGCACGTCCTCATCTGTTCCATCCCTGTAAATCCTGTTCTCTTGAATTACACCAGAGCAATCCGAGGTGAGAATGGGGCCTGCTGATGGCTATGGAATTACTCCAGTTGTACAGTGGTTAAAGAGCAGAATCAGGCCCATTGCACCTTTGAAGTCAGAGGAGTTACTTACTGTGGTGTAAGAAGAGATTCTGTCCCTCTGAATTTACTTTTAAAAACCTAGCTGATGATGGGTACATGACATTCCTTTTCCCCCTGTAAAGAAGAGAGAAGGTGGTGGCCTGCAGAGAAACTAAAGAAAACAAGAAACTTGAAAGGGGGACAGGAGGAAAGGCCTCCAAAAATCAGAGAAGCCAGCAGACCTAGTGAGAAAATGAGAGTCAACTTGCGAGCAGGAAGGAAAGGGGAAGGTTATGTCATTAGAGACTGGAATCTAATGTTTTGCTGAAACTCCATGGATACAGGAAGGAGCAGGGTGGGTAAAAATAGCAAAATGCATATAGTATGAGTTCCAAGAATTTGACTCTCTGAAAAGAAAGAAATGTATGTTCTTGCTTAAAAGCAGAAGGAAAAAGTTATGTGTTGTTATGAATCTATTCGAAAGAATGAAGGAAGGAGAGAGAAACAGGAAGGCTGCTGAAAAGGATTTTTGGTTTCTCCAACCAAAACATGGCCATTTTTATTATTATTATTATTATTATTATTGCATATGTTGTATCCGACTGCTCAGTGGCTTGGTTCGCAAGGGACAGAAGCTATAGAGACTGTTCAAGCAAAAGTTCTTTTTTGGGGCTAAGGCGCACACGGAAGATCTCCACTGTTGATCACAATTTAATCTTCCATTCTATAAGTTACGGCTCTTTTCTCATATTTAAGAGCTTAAATAGGCTAGCTAGTAGGTGGTTAGGCCAAACACTCCATTCTCTTTGGGCTGGACGGCATAAGTTAGTATCTCTCCAGGCCAGAGAGTCACACCTCATCAATAAAGCAGAAAATTCCTACAACAAAAAGAGGGGGAAAATCAGCCCATTTACTCCATTAGCTTGTTTTATGTCAGAACAGATGGTAACCTATCACCATGGAAGTCTTTATAACAATTTCCATCTTTTAAGTTTGAACGCAGGTTTTAAATTTTTCCCCTGGTGAAAATATGGACCATGAGTCATTATACACGCCATGTGCTATCTGCATGGGATTTTCACTTTATTCAGAAAGCCATTCCATTATGCTAACTGCTTCCCTCCTCCCCCCATTCCCAGCCTGGGCAAGTGGCCAATTCCATCATCTTAAACTCAGCAATATGAACAAGGAAGGTACCATCTGAGGAGGAGCTAGAATGCACAGACAAGGGGAGATGACTTGCTGCACAGCACAAAGGCCAGGAGTCAATTCCTAAAGCCCAAATGATTGTCCAAAGAGGTCGCTTGAGTTATGACCCCTTCTGTCTAACCTCTAATCGTTGGCTGTGAAGCTAGGGCCTGATCCTGCAAAATATTGAGTGCTCAGCACCTGCTGGATCTGGGCTCTCAATGCGCTTTCTCCGTCTCCTTTTGAAGACAGAAGGCCTGGCTTGATCTCTCTCTCTCTGACATGCGTGGGCAGTGACTGGCATGGGAGCAGCAGCCTGGGCTTGATTTGCTGCAGCATCACTCCCCTGAGTGGGGCTGAAGAGGAAGTCCCAGTCGCTCCCGCCTGTAGCATCCTTCACAGTAGCACAGCAACAGACATTGGCTGTAATGATACAAAGGGGATTCTTCATTAAGGCTACAGGACACTAACAAATGCTGTGGTTTCCTCCACCTCCCAGACTGACTACCACCTGCCCAGTGCCAATTGTCTCTACCCACAATATTCCTAAATCCTGGTCTGGCTGCAGCACTCCTCCATCGGCTTGCTTCACTATTTACCCCTTCCCTACAAGCTGACTTACCGGGATGGGCTTTTATCAAAACTACAAGACCGCCATGCTCCTGAATGCTGGGGAAATTCAGATCCAAATTTTGCAGCTTGGATCCATCTGTGCTTTCACCGTAATGTCTCAAGGCAGCATTCCCGGAGCTGCAGGAAGAGACATGAAAGAAACATGTGATATATTGCTACCTATGCTGCTGGGAGCATTAGAAATGCAGTGCAGTGGACGGATGGATAGATAAATCCTTGCCAAGGCCACTGTCATTATTCAGGAGCAGGTTAGATCCCTGATCCTGGCCATGAATCCCCTTGATACTAAGTAAGGGGGTGAATGGCATCTTGTCAAAGGGCAGGAATTATATAGAACACCATTTCCCCTGAAGAAATAGCTCAGATGCCTTATATAATGAATGAGCTCACTTCACATGCCTCTGCCAGAAACAATAAAAGTTAGAAAATGTCCCAGTAATTAAAATAAAGCGTTACCCAGATTTATGATGAGAAATGTGACACATCAGGCAGTTGACTCCTGCTCTGGACTCACAAATATGCCTCACCTTGGTTGGAACAGGCTGCATTCGTTACCAGGAACAGTGCAGGTCCAGGGTGAGCCCAGAAAGCAGTGAGTCCAGCATGAGCCCCAGAATGGCGGCAGAGAGAAAGCAGAGGGGAGGGGAAGATGCCAGCTGGCTTCCTCCCCGGTGCATCTCAGATCTTATGGCGTATGCATGGTACAGATCGTGGTGACTGCTTCAGGATGGGTTTTGGATTACACACGGGAAATGGAGGTGGGAGGGAGGGCGAAAGAGTCATTCCTAGGCCAGTTGCATGCCTGGAAGAAATGGAACAGGAACTTGTGAAAAGCAGGAGGGGGGAAAAGAAGAGGCAAGGGGAGACCAGCCTCGGCCAGGCCGCCTGCTCAGAGTGCTGGAGAATTGTGACTTGGTGATCATGTTCTCCTCGGTAGAGACACCCTTTCCCTTCCTGGGTGTGAGTGAAGGGCTGGTGGCGGGGGGAGGGGGAGGAGGTGGAGTGACTGTTCAGAGAGCAGCGTGGCAAGGTGCTGGGTAGCACTTCTACAGGCTGGGAAGGCCACGTGAAGACAGACGTGTGTGTGTGTGGAGGCATGTCCATCTCCATGGGCTGTTCGCCTTGGCCTCGGCAGAGACAGCCCATATGGGGCACCGTTAATGACCGAAGGGCTGGTGGCGGGGGGAGGGGGAGGAGGTGGAGTGACTGTTCAGAGAGCAGCGTGGCAAGGTGCTGGGTAGCACTTCTACAGGCTGGGAAGGCCACGTGAAGACAGACGTGTGTGTGTGTGGAGGCATGTCCATCTCCATGGGCTGTTCGCCTTGGCCTCGGCAGAGACAGCCCATATGGGGCACCGTTAATGACCTCCAGGCTGGTATTTTGGGATCATATGGAGAATTGTCCATTGGACACTGGACTGAGACCTGCTGAAATCATACTATGTGGGCTAAGAATAGCCACAAAGCAGAAACACTCAGTCATTCCGGACTGGGCTATTTGAAAAAGTGGCTTGACTGAGAAGCAAATCAGTAAACTATTGGGAAAGCACTGCTTAATTGAAGAGTGCAGGAGGGGAGACCTTTTCATACTGTTGGGGGCGGGATTATTTAGCAAACAGGTGTCTTGGCTCTCTGGGGAACTGAATTCTATTTCTGGCTCTGCCACTGACAGGCAGCGGGACCTTGGGCAGGTCACTTTACTTCTCTGTGTTTCTCTTTCCCCTCTCACTTATTGTCTGTTTACGCTGTAAGGGTATGTCTACACTACAGCACTAATTCGAACTAACTTAGTTCTAATTAGTTAATTTCAACTAAGCTAATTCGAATTAGTGCATCTAGACTTAAAAACTAGTTCGAATTAGCGTTTTGCTAATTCGAACTAGCATGTCCACACTGAGTGGACCCTGAACTGAGGTTAAGGCTGGCCGGAAGCAGTGCCGGCAGGGCATCAGATTAGGACTTAGAGCGTGGAGCTGCTGTCTCAGGCTAGCCGAGGGCTGCGCTTAAAGGGACCCGACCCCCACCCTGGACAGACAGTTCTTGGGGTTCCCCGCTTACAAAGCAATCCTGGCTTGGAGTGCCCTGAGTGCCCACACTTGGTACATCACAGCACTCGGCCATCAGCCCGGCTGCACTTGCCGCTGGCTGCCATCCAGGGGGGGTCAATAGGGGGGCTGCAGGAGAGCTTCCACCCCGAGAAGCCCACAGAGCCACCCCAATCCTCCCCATCGGGGGCTCGTACCCCATTCCTCCCTCACCTCCTTCCACTTATCCCGGGCTTCATTTGCATGTTCCCGGGCAGGCGCCATTTTTAAATCCCCTGAGTTCGAACTGACTGCCCGGGGCTACACGCGGCAGTCAGAAGTTAATCCAAACTACGTCCTTAGTTTGGATTAACTGTTACTCCTCCTGAAATGAGGTGTAACAGTTAATTCGAACTAAGGATTTAGTTTGGAATAACTTCTGATTGCCGCGTGTAGCCACGGGCAGTCAGTTCGAACTAAGGGGGTTTAAAAATGGCGCCCGCCCGGGAACATGCAAATGAAGCCCCGAATATTTAAATCCCGGGCTTCATTTGCAAGTTCGAATGCTTACATTAGCCACCCTAGTTCGAACTAGGGGGCTAGTGTAGACATACTCTAACAGAGTTTAAAAAAGAGCTAGATAAATTCATGGAGGTTAGGTCCATAAAAGGCTATTAGCCAGGGGGGTAAGGAATGGTGCCCCGGCCTCTGTCAAAGGCTGGAGAAGGATGACAGGAGAAAAATTGCTTAATTATCGTCTTTGGTCCATCCCCTCTGGGGTACCTGGCACTGGCCACTGTTGGCAGACAGGATACTGGGCTAGATGGACCTTTGGTCTGACCCAGTATGGCCGTTCTTATGTTCTTATAACCAACCCCTGATCTTGCGTTGAGTTAGGAGAAGAGGAAGCTGCATACCAAATTTGGTGACCCTGGCTCTTACTGTTTAGAAAGGGTTCTTGAACAAATGGACTCGCAGACAGACAGACAAACATGCTCTAAAAATTGATAGATATTTAGATAGATACGCTTCCCCAGCACAGTGTGCTTGAGATTAGCAGGCCAGATTTTCAGACCAGTGAAGGGCACCGTTGTTTGTGCCATTTCTGTGCCTTTGCACGCAGCAGTGAGCTGCACGTCCCTATGTCTGCAGGTTCCTAATTTTACATGTGCTGTCATGGTAAATGTCCATGTAAATTAATCTTGCCGTTGTGGGCATACGGTTGATGCAACCATGTGTCTAGCATGTTTGAATGTTTATTTAAAATGAGAGGGCAACAATGGGACTCTCTCTGCATCCCTTTCCAAATCATGGCTGTATAATTCAGCCCGGGAATGTAGTTATTGTGCGGTGAAAATGAAATCTCTCCGAACTCGAAAGTGGTGATGTTCCTGGAACAATCAAATTAAAGCTGCGATTTTTTGTTTGCTTTCATCTTGTAAAACAGAAACAAAAACGGCATGAGGTCAGCTCATTCCAGCTCTCACGAAATCCATGTGTCCAGTGGCTTCCTCGTGAAATGAGCAGTAACAGTAGTTCGGAATAGGAAGCCTAGTCCAAACTGCCTAGTCCGTGCCGCGTCTAGCCGCGCGGCACGGAGTCCGCACTAGCGGACATTTAAAAATGGCGGTGCCCAGCGAGATGCAAATGAAGCCCGGGAAATTCAAATCCCGGGCTTCATTTGCAACTCCGTTTGCCTACATTACCACCCTAGTTCGAACTAGGGGGGTAGTGTAGACATACCCTGAGAGATGTCTGTCTAACCTGCTCTTAAATATCTCCAATGATGGAAATTCTACAACTTCCCTAGGCAATTTATTCCAGTGCTGAACCATCCTGACAGTTAGGAAGTTTTCCCTAATGTCCAACCTAAACCTCCCTTGCTGCAATTGAAGCCCATTGCTTCTTGTTAGACTTTCAGAGGTTAAGGAGAATATTTTTTCTCCTTCCTCCTTGTAGTACGTAATCTTTTAGGTACTTGAAAGCTGTTATCATGTCCCTTTGGTCTTCTCTTTCCCAGACTAAACAAACAGTTATTTCAATCTTCCATCATCGGCCATGTTTCCTAGACCTTTAATCATGTTTGGTGCCCTTCTCCAGTTTGTCCATATCTTTTCTGAAATGCGGCACCCAAAACTGGCCACGTTACTCCATTTGAAGCCTAATCAGCACAGAGTAGAGCAGATGAATGACTACTCATGTCTTGCTTTCAACCCTCCATCTGCAATCCCTGAGCTGTTCTGACCCTGTGTGGCTATCAAAAAAAAAAAAAAAAAGTTTCACATAAAATCTTAGCCTCATAACTTCTTCAAAGCAGGCAGTTTTCTGTCCTGATGTCAAACTGTGGCTTCTTTTCCTGAGGAAGAGGTGGGGGTGGTAGAAAGGGAAGCGGTGCCGGCGTGCTGGTGAAAGCTGCCATCTTGCAAAATGTTTTCACAAGCTGGTGCTATAATACCAAGTGGTGGGGCTGATTCAAGGGATGGCTTGGCTTAATCAGCAGGGCATGGGGAGATGAATCACTTGACATTTAGCCCCAGATTCAGCTCTTGCTTTGGTGTAAATTGGGAGGAATTCCAGGGATCTTTGATGGGATTTCAGTAGGGAACATGAAGGGTGGTCTGGATTGGGACTGGACAGAAGAGATGAGCTCCACCACAGACTCCCTGTATTAAACTCAAGCACATTGCTTCCCTTCTCAGTGCCTCAGTTTCCTATCTATAAAATGGGATTCCTAATTCTTCCCTTCCTCATGATGTGCTTGTGACAATGAAGTCATTAATGCTAGCTGAGGAGTCCAGATACTCTGGTGATGGGAGCCACAGAAAAGCCTATGCATAAAATGATGTCAGACCACTGGAGCGTGGTGGGGCTGGAGAGACGAGTAGTGGGTTTGGAGAGAGCATGTTCTGAATGACACAAGAGTTGACATAAGCACCATGTACCTGCACCAGTATTCCCTCTAATTTTTTTCATCTGTGTGTGGAATAAATTTTATGTGCACTGAAGCATGCATGAATGTGCACCACCAGTAGAAACAAAAAATCTAGTTGTGGGTGTTCTGTTAATCAGCTGGGCAGCATTTGAATCTCTCCTGCACAAGCTGCACAAGCGCACAGCTCACCGGGAACACTGACCCTCACAGTAGTCTCCTGGTGAAGGAGGGAGGGATCTCTAACGTGGTTGCGTGGAAGGCAGGTTTTGGGCTCTAATTCATGCATGGCCTCTATATGGATTGAATGGGAGGAAATATTTCCACTAAGCATACGTTTCCACAAGCCAAAACATGCCAGCTTCGGGGGCCACCCCTCCAGGCTCTGTATTCTGGGGTGGTTCCGCTGAAGCCAGCAGCATGTGAAAGGACTGCTCACTTGGTCCCACTGCTGTTTGGGGACTTTGAACAATGGGGAGCCATGTTCTAATCAAGCCCAAAACCGAGTGAGCCAAGGAGGCATTGCCAAGCAGATTAACAGAGCGCCCTGAGCTAGTTTTTTTTTGTGTCTACTGGTGGTACACATTCGCACGTGGCTTGGTGCACATACAGTTATTCTGCACATGGATGAAAAAAGTTAGAGAGAACATTGGTGTAGGTACACTGTGCTTAGTCAACTCTCGAATCATTCAGCACATGCTGCCCCCAAATCTTCTCCTCCTCTCCCCCCAAGCAGTGGTGGAAGTCAAAGAGAGAACTACAGTGACTCCCTTGGGGGGCGG